ACCCTGAAAAGAAAAGAGAAAGTAGCATTGATTCCGTTATCGACACAAAAGCCCTCTTACGGAAGGGAAAAATTTGGGGACCTTAGGCAGTGTGGCTGTCTAGCAGAGTATGCACCTTCCTATATTGAAAGTCCCATGTGTGCCCATCCTGGCTGTGTGGCACGCCTTAAACCTATTCCAGACTTTAAGCGTGATCATTTCTGAAGAAACTAACAACATATTACTCCAGAATGTTGGAAGTAAATGAGATATTGAATACCTGTATATGCTGCTCCATAAATGATCCTTTTAGAACAGCCATTGCAGTTTATAACAGATAATCGTTCGGAGATATGATAATCTAAATGGTCAATCCTTCCCTCTCTTAACGCGGCTTGAATCTCACAGTGAGAATTGGACTCGGTGAACTTATGCTGCGATGCTAGAACATCTTTGATGCTTGCTGTGAATAGATTTGGCTTCATTTCATTTTTGTGTGGAGCCGAAGGATGTGGAAGAGGTGGTAGGAATGTGTAATTCAGGCAGACCGTGGATTTCTCAGATTTACTATCTGAAGCTTGCTAAATATACATTTAAATGATGATAATTGACTGAGTATGGTAGCTGCCTATTTGTTACAGCTGTGGCAGCCCAGGCAATATTTCAAGTCTTTTCAAGGACATTTCTATTAAAAACAGTGTGCATTTAAAACAGCCATGCTGTCCAATTGAATTACTTAAAACATTTAGTGGACTGATAATACCTTTTAATCTGATAAAAACCTATGAAATTCTAAAGGGTTTGATTTCTTCCTTTTCTAACATATCTTAAAATCTGACTATTTAACATCCCTTTTGAGTGTGCATAGGACTTCAGGGAGGAAATCTAAAGGAAGGGTAATTATTGACACAGATTTTGCAAAAGTCAGTGTCCTGCTTCACTTCACCTCCATCCACCCATGAGGCAATTCTTGGAGGACTTTTCAGCCCTCTGGCTAAATAGAGATCATTTCACTTTTTCCCTTTAGCATACTTTATTGGTGCATTTATGGATTATAGAATATGATTTGCCTTCTTAAGAAGTTTCTCTTTGTTCTTATATGCATGGAGCTATCTGCTTTACAGGACATTTAATGTACAAAATGAAATTGTGGGTCCATTTAGATTATTGATATCTCATTGGTCCCAGAGCTCTAAATTAGAGGTAAGTTTACAGTGAGAGCAGAACTCGTGTGTATGCCTAGCAGGACAAAGAAATGGAACTTGGGTTTTTTTTTTTTTAATGAAACATAAGAAAAAAGCCCTATTTTCAATTAAAAAGGAAAAATTTAAAGTGTGTTCCTGCCATGACTATTAAATGTTTGGGGAGCAATGAGATACCCATTTTGGTGGCTAGACCTGAGTTATAAGGAAGGAGGTAGTGGGAGAGGAGGGCAGACAGGGAGGCCGTTTGATGATTGACTAAGTGCCAGGCTCAGGGTGTATCTCTAACTAGAGAGCCAGGGAAGGTAAAATACAGGTAACATCAAATTATCATTTGAACCACTTTCAGTGTATGGCTCAATGGCATTAATTACATTCGCAATGTTGTACAATCATCACCACTATCCATCTCCAGAACTTTTTTTATCCACCCAAACAGAAACTCTGTATCCATTAAACAATCACTCCCATTCCCACTCTGTCCAGCCCCTGGTAACCTCTAATCTCCTCCCTGTCTCTGTGAATTTGCCTATTCTAACATGCACTACTTTCCTTTTGGTTCACATTAGCATAATGTTTTCAAGATTTATCCACGTTGTAGGATATCAGATTTCATACCTCTTTTTAAGTTAAAAACATTTACACTATATATATGTCCCTCCAATCACACCCATATCTATAGATAGCAATGTCATCTTTGAATACAGTGACCAATTTTTAAAAAAGAGTTAATCGTGATAAAAACACATAATAAAATTTACCATCCTAACCACTTTTTTTTTTTTTTTTTTAGATAGAGTCTCACTCTGTTGCCCAGGCTAGAGTGCGGTGGCGTCAGCCTAGCTCACAGCAACCTCAAACTCCTGGCCTCAAGCGATCCACCTGCCTCAGCCTCCCGAGTGGCTGGGATTACAGGCACACGCCTGGCTAATTTTTTCTATTTTTAGTTGTTTGGCTAATTTTGTTTCTATTTATAGTAGAGACGGGGTCTCGCTCTTGCTCAGGCTAGTCTTTAATCCCTGAGCTCAAGCAATCCTCCCACTCAGCCTCCCAGAGTGCTAGGATTACAGGCGTGAGCCACCTCGCCTGGCCTTGTCCTAACCACTTTTAAGCGTACGTTTCAGCAGTGTGTGTTGTGTGTTGTGCTCTACACTATAACAATATAGTGTTGTGCAACACATCTCTAGAAATTTTTCATCTTGCCAAACTGAAACTCTATACCCATTGAACAATTCCCCCATTTGTCCCTCCTCTGGCAACCACCATTGTACTTTCTGTTTCATGATTTTGACTACTTTAGATATCTTAGATTCCATGTAAGTGGAACCACACAGTATTTGTGTTTTTGTAACTGGCTTATTTCAGTTAGTATAATGTCCTCAAGTTTCATTCGTGTTGTAGCACGTGCCCAGATTTCCCTCTTTTTTAAGGCTGAATAATATTCCAGTGTGTGTGTGTGTGTGTGTGTGTGTGTGTGTGTGTGTGTGTGTACGTGTGTGTATTTATATATACCCAACATTTTGTTTACCTGTTCATCTGATGATGCACATTGATTTACTTCCCCCTTGTGGCTTTTGTGAGTAGTACTGCTATGAGCATTGGTGTATAAGTGTCTGTTTGAAACCTGCTTTCAATTAGGTATATATCTAGAAGTAGGATTTCTGGATCATATAGACAGGGAAGGTTTTTGAGTAGAATAAGGGCACAGAATTATGGTTTAGAAAGATGAACTAGGTGGGCCTGAGTATATAGAATGGATTAAGCTGGGGTAGAGCAAGGGAGGTTCAGGTGGGAGAGAGGCAGGGGAGATTGAATTAGGAGCTGTTATCATGGTCCAGATATTTTTGAGAGAAGGAGGGAAATACAGCAATACTTCCCCTGTATCAGGTTGAGGAGTAATATTCATAAGGTGATTCACAAGAAAGAGTTTGGTTTGGGAGAGGATGGTTTTGGTCAAATGTACCTCTTTTGCGGCTCAAGAGAGAGAAGCTACCATGGATTTACCTTGCTTCTATCTCTTGACTTTCCTTCTTACCCTTAGCCCTGGTATAATCCTCTCAGCCTGGAACCATTGCTGACTGCAGATCTTACCATAAGGAACAGTAGAATTAAAGGGGTGACTTGGGAGTGTTGCTTAATGTTCGTCAGCGTCTCTTTCCACACTAAATGCATACACATTCTAAGTAAAAGTTAATGGGCTTGATGTGCAAATACAATTTCCATATAACTCTGGAAGCCACTCTGGGTGATTAAATTAACACCCCTAAGTTTCCACTATGGAAATTGTGGGACTGCCCAAACATAGGCTTTTATTCTCATCACAACCACACCTGGCAACATCTGGAAGGGTGAGATGTCACCTTTCCCACCATATTGTGTCAGAAGGTTTCAGTACCTTCCCCAGCTATGGCCACTAATGTGCTGTGTGACCCTGTCATGTCATCTGTCCCAGTGTCTGCTATAGCACCTTTCCATCAATGCTTGTTATTATTGCTGTTCATTGGGTGCCAGAACGAATGAATGGGCAGGACTGTGATAACTCCGGACCTCAGCTTCCTCATGTATGCAGTGGCACTTGGGAGGAGCAAATGGGAGAATGGATTGAAAGTGTCGTGGGATATAAAAAGCACTCTGCAGCTCATTAATAAGCATCAGTATTGATCCCGCACCATCTCCAGGATCCTCTAGTCTATAAAGGAGCCAATTTACAGCTCCTACTCTGGTGGTTACCATTTCCTGGGCAAGGCAGGACAAAACAAATACATTAGGGCAGCTACAATGAAAATTGTTCAGAGATAGACATGAGAGCCAAGAGGTGACTGAAATGAAGCCCCTGCTTCCTGGGAGGTGGTTGGTAGTAGAGAGGTTGGTGGTTTTCAGTGACCTATGGGAGGATGGCAACGCTGAGTCCCAGAAAAACTCCCCATTTTATAAGTCTTTTTTATTATATATAGCAAGTCACATCTTCAAGTAAGTCAGAGGAACTGTCAGGATGTTTGCCTTATTTTCCAACTTGGGTCATGTTGAAACAGATATAAATTACTGTCATTTTAACGTAAAAAGATTTAGGAGCTGTGCTGATACCATCTGTGAGAGAGACAGGAAGAGTTAAGAATGCAGCAAAAGTCCCACCTGTAGTCCTTTCAGGCAGGTGGTTCTGACTAGTTTCGTCAGTAACAACTCCTGGCATTCTTGTCTTAGGTCCAGGAGGTAACCCAGGTACACTCTGACATGGGTAGGTGTGTCTTGCTTTGAGAAAACCCCCTATATGAAAAGTCCAAGATGATCAGAAAGATAAATTTACAAGATGCATTTTATAATATCCTTGATATAAAGTTTGCCCATTGTACTTTTCAAAAATTTTACTTTACAAAAGCCTTCTCTTTGTATAGAATCCCTTTAACTAGCTAAACTTATATCCTCTCTCCCATTGCAGATTGAAAGTATGATTGAATTGGATAAAAATGTGGGCTTTCTCACAATCTTTCAATGCATCCAAATGACGAACCTGATCTGGAAAGGCTCTGTTTGGAAGATGCTATGTTTTCTTGCCAGAGCCTTCTCCAACCCCTGAAACACACACACTCTTCTAAAACTACAAAGTCCCAAAAACTATCTGAAGGAATGGCTTTGTTCCACAATGCTGATTCTACTTCAATAATATGGTGGAGACATTCAATCTGTCAATGTTCATTAAAGAAAATCTTTTCTCATCCAGTAGAATATGTCTTTGTATGTCTGCCTGTTTTTCTGGGGTGTCTGTGCCGTGGCTCTAGATTTATTGATGTTAAAGTGTGGGCTCTGGGTTTCTTCTCCTAGATTGGTCGCTTAGTTATTGGACAGAATGGAATCCTCTCTACCCCTGCTGTATCCTGCATCATCAGAAAAATCAAAGCCATTGGTGGAATCATTCTGACAGCCAGCCACAACCCAGGAGGGCCCAATGGAGATTTTGGAATCAAATTCAATATTTCTAATGGAGGTAAGTTTGCTGTCATTTTGAAGACAGGCAATTTTATATTCAGTAGGATAAACCAACACCTGAAGCCTTGGGAGGCCAGAGTTCTGGTTCCGATCCTTTAGCAGGGGGGCTATTTGCTTTATTTCTGCATTTTGGTGACAAGGAAAT